ACATCCCCATGACTGTTTTTATAATAGACAATTTGTACTTCTTAATCTCTTCACCTTTTTCACTCATTCCCTCAATCCCCTCCCATCTGGCAACCATCAGTTTGTTCTCTGTATCTTTGAGTTTGTTTCTGTTTTGCTTGTTCATTTATTTTATTTTTTAGAATCCACATGTAATTGAAATCATATGCTATTTGTCTAACTTAATTCACTAAGCATAATGCCCTCTATGTCCATCCATGCTGTTGCAAATGGCAAGATTTCATTTTTTTATGGCTGAGTAATATTCCATTGTATACACAGGGTAGATAAAAGTAGGTTTACAGTTGTTCATATGGAAAATAATACAGTAATTAATAAATAATACAAAAATAAACTCTGTGTTTCGTGTACTCACAACTATAAACCTACTTTACCAACCCCTGTAAGTACTACAACTTTTTTATCCATTTGTCTATTTTTTTTCTTAAAATGAGCCATTGGATAACTTGGCTATGTGATCAGCTACTCGTAGAAGGACCCATGTCACAATAGAAAATGTTAAATTTATTTCTATTGACTTTACTGTTTATAAAAGTTTAAAAATATAATTTATAATTTATTTCTTGATTATTTAGATCTAGTAAGATTAGTTATGCTGGATTTTATATCTTCTTTTTATTTCAAACATAGGAATATCACATTAAAACATTTTAGGCTTACTGTACAAATCCAACAATAAGTATATAAAGTTTATTCCCTTAACACACACATAGAGCAACTGATTATTGTGTTTTCTTCCTAATAAGTTCTGTTTTAATATTTTTCTTTATATGTAAAGTCTAGGCCACATGAGCTTGTTAGATTCTGGTTATATATAATCTTGTAAGGTTACTTTCTAAATCACTATTTTCATTCCAAATGATCAAATTCATTGTCATCACATTTATATTTTCTACTTAAACTTTTTCAGTCTTCTAAATTTATCGTTGCTTCTCAATTTTGCTGTCATTCACAAAATTACTGAGAATTACGAGCTTTTATATTAGGGTAATTTTTTCTTAATGACCTCTTATGAATAGATATACTCACCCTAGATGTATTAGAGGTTCTCCTTCCGAAGTGTGTCTTTTGTATGTTTTTGGAGTTGGACTCCCTAAAGCACTAAGGCTGCAGAATTATTTTGCAGTTTGTAAATTTTGCATTAATCTGACTCACACACATCCCGCTCTTAAAGGCTCCCTTGCATCCCTCCATTGATTTTAGTAGATTAAGAGTAGGTAGATATTTTGCTAGAGCAGATGCTTATATTTTTCCTTAAACATATTTCTATGAAAAATCAAACCAAGAATGAAATGAATAGGCTATTTCTGTTTTCATGCACATTCATATGTCTCTACGCATACAGTGTTTATATATTTGTTTTTATTTTGTGAATAATGTCTCCTGTGCATCATATTCTCTGCTGTCCCATGGCTACCAGATAATGTAAATTATTATTGACATCAGTACATCTGTTGGGCAAATAAGTGATGTAGATTACCTATATCATTACTTCTGATCACTGACATAAAGTGTATGATTGTAAAGAAATTTACCTATAAGTGAATTCAGGCTTACAGCCCAATTTTCTTTTTAATTTGCCATTATTTGTTACCCAGTTCTGTATATTGAATTTTGTATTTGAGTGATTTTAAATTGTTTAGTCATATAATAAAGGCAGTGAATTTTATTATGTCCCAAGTGCTCATGACATATAAATCTGACAAGTTTAACTTAAATTATATTTAGCAATGTAACAATGGCATAAACTTTTAAACTATAAACTTTTATGTAGTCATAATACATGACTCTTACTCGCTTGGGTTCTTATTTTGATTAAGTAAGCTACTACTACTTTTAAAATTCTACTCTGAGAAATAGTGATAGACTGTTAATTGGTTTGATGTGTTTGGTGGGTTACAATTAAATCTTACAGTGTGGTGCTAGTCAGTCTAAAATTCTAAGATAGGATTTAGTGGTGACCTTTTAATGTCCCATAGACATAGTTTTACTTCATATCAAACACAGTTTGTCAGATGTAGTTGCCAATCACATTGGAAATCAGGTAAGAATGTGAAAACCCAACCCATTCTTTGTCATTAGTGCAAGCACCTGAACTAGATTTTTCCTAGATGGTGAGTCTGTAGTCAGTTTCATGCAAGACAGTTATTATATGGGACTGTTCTTAATATCTTATGAATAAGGGGCTTAATTTTAGCTTGGGATTTTTATTATTTGTGCAGAACAGGATTGTCTATAAATCCTGTCCCTGTATTCATTGGCATTTGATTAAGTAAAGCCTGTAACTCAGGGATTGTTCACTAAACGTGAAAGATAGAGGTAGGAAGCTCCCCTGATCACTTTGGATTTGGAAGCTGGTATTCTACGAGAACTTCAATAGGTCACGCAGAAAGCTAATTATGTTGCATTCACAGAGCTGCCTGTACAGGTTTCCTCCCTCACATGGGGGGCCGTTCTTGAGATGACTGTAAATGTGTGCTGTCAAGCTCTCAGTTTTTACAGTATTTCAATGAATTCCAAATCGTTTTGCTTCTAGGTATTTTTGTTTGTAAATATATCTCTATGTAATTTTTGCATTTTAATAACATTAACAAGTTTCTTATGATGAAAAGTTAGTATCAGAAACTCATCTTAAACCACTGTTTTAAAAGAAAGCTCCTACCTATTAGGCACAGAAAATAATTTGGAAAAGAAACTTATTCATAGCTTCCTTTATTAAATTCCTGTGTTCCTGCTTCCCCCCGCAGTGGTTCTCAACCTTCCTAATGCCACGACCCTTTAATACAGTTCATCATGTTGTGGTGACCCCCAACCATAAAATTATTTTCGTTGCTACTTCATAACTATAATTTTGCTACTGTTATGAATCGTAATGTAAAGATCTGATATGTTATATGTGTTTTCCGATGGTTGCGACCCACAGGTTGAGAACCACTGCATAGCTAAGTAATTAAGATTTTATACTGTATTTGATTAAATACAGTATCATTTACATGATCTACCTCAGCAAACAAAGCTGTTTTTTAAAGAATAGCTTCTAATAAAATAGGAAGCCAAATCTTTTCTTCCTTTACCAGAAAGGCGATAGCATAGCATAGTAGTTCAGGAGACAGGTCACCAGGTTCAAACCTAACCTTTTTGTGACCTAGTTTTCTCTGTTAGGAAGTAAAGGTATTAATAATTCCAACCTTTTAATGTACTTATGAGGATTAAATTATACACAAAAAAATATTTAGAACAGTGCCTAGCATTTGTTAAGTGCTGATATTGGGTATCATTTTAAAAAATTACATGTTGTATAGCTCATATACTTGTTATCTATATAATCTATATAATAAAAGCCTAAGCGACTGTTACGGTGGAATGACCAGAATGATTGGTTGCTATGATGTGCACTGACCACCAGGGACAGACGCTCAATGCAGGAGCTGCCCCTGGTGGTCAGTGTGCTCCCACAAGGGGAACACCGCTCAGCCAGAAGCCAGGCTCACGGCTGGTGAGCACAGCAGCAGTGGCGGGAGCATCACCTGCCTCTGTGGCAGCGCTAAGGAGCAGCAAGCCAAGTGGTAAGGAGCCTGCCACTAAGGAGCAGTGAACTGAGTGGTAAGGAGTGAGTAGGCGGGCGGTAAGGAGCGAGGGATCCCAGACTGCGAGAGGGATGTCCGACTGCCGGCTTAGGCCCAGGGGATCAGCCAGCAGTTGGACATCCTCCGAGGGGCCCCAGATGGTGAGAGGGTGCAGGCCAGGCTGAGGGACCCTCCCACCTCCCCAGTGCACGAATTCTGTGCACTGGGCCTCTAGTCTATTATAATTATCAGAAATTTTCTATAATAGAACTTCTCATTACTTAAAAATATAATTAAGAACTTTTATATTTCCAAAATTTGAAAAATCACCATGTTATCGAGTGAGAATACTACTTGCATTGTAAGCTAGTAGTTACTCCATCACCACATTCTTCACCTTATTTCTTAGAGGAAATATTTATTGTATATATCCTTCCATACTTAATATACATGCATTTGATAAATCTTAAGTCTACTCTTATGAATATGAATAATGACTATGTAATAGATTATTTAAATTATATATGCATTCCTATAACCTTATCATATAACACATGACATGTCTAGGAAATTAGATAGGGTTTTAGTACCTTTGGAAATAGATGTTGAACCTAAAAAACACATTCATTTTCCTGGATCATTTATATTTGGAAATAGTAATGAATTGTTCTCTTACTTGAAATGGCAATAACATCAAAGCTGCATATATCTCTTGAGTTGGTTTTATCCTGACAAAACAAATATGAGGACAGTTTAATAATAAACCTTCATTAACTTTCTGTTTATAACTGAGGTTTTCTTTTATTATATTTCTAATTAATTCATTTAATAGAAAATGGGCTCACAGTTGCAAATACATGAGGGAAGGAAGTTAAATTATCTTGATGGTGTGTTAACACAGATATTTTATTACCCAACATTTTTTAAGCTTCTAAATTATAGGAATTTATAATAATTTGTTACTATAATAATTACATAAAAATATCAAGGTATTGAAGAATTCTGAAGTGCTTAGAAGACACTAGATCATTATTAAGTTATTCCAATTTTGTTCTGCATCTGTAGATTTTTCTGCTCCTTTGTCACCTGATAATAAACAGATGTCCCCATTTCTTAACAAGCTCAATAATAATAAAAAAACAAAACTGGTGCAAGGATTTGTTTGTTTGAAAAATTGCTTTCTTTTCCATTTTTAGTGGATTAACCAGATAGACCTACAAAAAGGGTGGAGGGAAAAGTATAATGGAGATCATATTGCAGCCATGATAAAGACCACATTTAGGAGAAAATTGGGGATAATTTAACCAGAAATTAACCAATAAATTGAAGAAAAATAATCTCTAGAAAATATTTTTGTGAGAACAAATTTAAGTATATTTCACTATTATTTTACAGAAAAAGTTATCAAAATCTTGACCAGTTTTCAGCTGAAGTTAGCCTTTCTCAGACTTCCCTGGACCCAGGTCAGTCACAAGACGATGGAAAACAAGACACGTTAAATTCAATCAGTGAAGGTAAGGAAAAAGTCTGTTTGAAAAGTACTTTTCCTGCACTATTGATACTGTGGTTGCAGAGGACTGCTAAAGAATAATTGTGATAATTCTGCAAAGTATGCTAAGAATTAAACTGCCATTATGGTTAAAAATGGTCTGCTCTTGTTTGTTCCTCATGTGTTTGTGGCTAACCTTCTAGACTCTCTTTAGTTTTTACCTTTATTTCCTCACTTCCTGTGTCTTTTCTACCCACTCCGATTTGGCTGTTGTGTCTCTACTACTTACTGAAATGATTTATTCAAGGTGATTAACCACTGCCATATTGCTAAAGTCAGTTCTCTGCCTTTATCCTATTAAACTCAGCAGCTTTTGCTATAACTGACCATTTCTTCATTTTTTAGTCACTATTTGTACCTTGTTTATAAGTACTCTGAAAAAACGTGGGGAATAGACATAAAGGAGTTTTGTTTTTTCCCATTACCCCTTTCAGCTGTGCTCAACCAACCACTCTTCCCATTGGTTTGCATCTTCCTCAACTATATCTTGGTCAAATTCCACAACTTTTCAGGTCACTTTCAATGATCGCATTTGTTTCTAAGACTCAAGCTATTCCTTTTAAAAGTTCAATAGCTTAGTTGGTTCAAAGCTCTTTTTTCCTCCCCTCAGCATAGGCTACAGTTGTGAATACAGCCCTTTGGATTGGACAAGTGGTATTGGTATGAAAGAGTGCTCACATCTTTTATCTCTCCTTCCCAGTTCTACATGTGCTGGTGTGTGTGAGAGCTAGGGAGTTTCTTACTGAAGGGGAACCTGCAATCCTTTAGACATCCAGTTTCTTTTGTTTTCTTTCTCCATTGCAATAAATGGCACCCCCATAAGCATTATTCTAGATTCTACTCTTCCCGCTTACATCAGTAGGTCAGTTTATTAGCAAGTCCTGGCAGCTCCCCATATAGCACATGCTATATAGACTGACCCATCATCTCCTCCCTTACTGCAATCCTAGCCTGTGCCGCTGGAGCAAGCCTCTTGGATGGACTGCTGCCACAGCTTTTTCAATGTCTTTGGTCTCCCATTCTTGCCTTCTCATAATCCATTCTCCAAACAGTAATCAGTGATCTTCGAAAACATTGTATCCCCACTTGAAGTCATCCTGTGGCTCTCAAAGACAGAGTAAAATTCAAACTGCGTATCATGGCATCGTTATTGTTGATAGAAAGGATGAGAAGTCATTTTTTTCAAGAAATATTTATTAAGCGCCTCATATGGACAAATATTATGCTAGTAACTTATTAGTAGCTACCACATTTCATCAAATCTAAGATGCTTTGAGTTTTAAGATATACCATTATTGCCCAGTTGGGTGGAGTTGGTTGTTGTCCCATACACCAAAAGGTTGCAGGTTTGATTTAGGTCAGGGCATATACCTAGGTTGCGGTCGAGTTACATATGGGAGGCAACTGATCTATGTTTCTCTCACACATTGATGTTTCTTCTCTCTCCCTCCCTCCCTCTTTAAAATCAATTACAAATATATATATATATGTATTTGTAATAAATAATCCATCCTTGGGTGAGGATTATGATAAACCATTATTTTATGTATAACCACGAAAGAAAAATGCTAACAATTCACTATAACATTTCAACATCTTAGCATTTTAAAAAATATTTTTTATTGATTTTATTTTTTTAGAGAGATAGGGAGAGGGATGGAGAGATAGAAACATTGATGAGAGAAACATCATTGATCAGCTGCCTCCTGCACACTCCCTACTGGGATCGAGCCAGCAACTGGGGCATGTACCCTGACTGGGAATTGAACCTGTGGTCTCTTGGTTCATGGGTTGACGCTCAACCACTGAGCCACACCACCAGGCAAGCAGTGATTCTTAAATGTATTGTTTGTTATCATAATGCGTGGCACATAGAGTACATCCAGTGACTTCTAACTTAACATTTGTAGCAGTACCATTTGAAGACTTGTAGAGTCCAGACCCCACTATCAGTACATTTAAAACAGAACTGGTCTTTTTGCTATGCTATAAAACAAAAAATCAATTTTCTGCTTTTAATGACTAATTTGTTTCTGCTAGGACCTACCAACCTCTGTCATCTGAGGCAAAAAGTTTTGTTAACCTTCAACTGTTGCCATATCAATATTTTATAAAGTATGAAGTTTTTAGTGTTTTTAGGTCCTTATTGGACCTAAAGGACAATTCTTCAAGGACAATTAACTATTTGTTATTTTATCCTAATTTCCAGGTAAAGAAGACACTCCCTCCTTACTTGGTCTCTGTGGGTCTCTAACATCAGTGGCAAGTTACAAATCTCTAACTAGCCTCAAATCCAATGACTGTCTTGCAAGTCCTACAGCAGAGATGACAAGTCCAGGCCTAACTCCATCCTGAAAAATTTAATGTAAAAGCCAAAATATTTTATGTTGCAGAAGTTCTATTACATAAGTTTGACTGCTGGGAAAACCTTTGGAATTTTATATTGTTCTGGCATATGTGGAGTTCTGTTGCTTCGAGTTCAATCTACTCCATGAAAACTGAATGGAAAAAAAAAGATCTTGCCATTTTTTTCATTAAAAAATTCTTATATTTGTCACTGAGAAAGTTTAAAATGAATAGGCCTAACATTTTTTTCAAAGATCCTCAAAATTAATAATCATTTGCAAATTGTACATACTTATTCAGTCGATTTTCATATATTTAAATGTATCATAATTGCCAGAGACCGAGTTCAAGGTTTTATTTCAGAGACTTTAGGCAAGTATTTTCTTTCCTTTTTAATTCAATGATTCAAATTTCGAAAAATGACTTAATAATTTCACTTTTCATTAATTTCTTCCTATGTTCTCATGTTAAAAGCCTTGTTTTTAATATGAGGAGAATGTTTTCAGCTGCAGTTTGACAGTGGCTTATTCAATTTTTCTTTAACAATCATCATTTGATATCAACTTAGCATTCCACTTAACATTTTATATATTTTGTAGGAATGTGCCTTTAGGCAGTTACTAAATTTGTTAGGGTCATAGGGAAAGTATTTTACAGTATTTTAGGCCATTTAGGTAAAATGAATAAAATTTCTTATCTTTGTTTCTCCAAAATTTTCTTAAAAGGTCATCAATTAAAAAAACCTGACCGAATATGCATCCAAAATTAAACATTAAAAAAGTGTAGAGCAGATGTTGAAAAAAATATTTGATCAGGGAAGATTTCAAGTTCAATCAAGTATCTGAGAGGCTTTTAAATTAGTATCAGTAGGTAATCACCATACTTAATGTCCGGCATACAGTGCTGTTTTCTATCCCTTATGGGCTGCAGTGAAGTCTCATGTATGTTTTATAGTTTCTATTATTAATCATGCCACAATCTCATTGTAAAGTCAATATTAAAAATCCCTGCACTTCTACAGGTTAAAAAAAATGTTTTCTTTTTAAAAACATCTCTGAACTGTATTTTATTTTTTTTTTGCAATTTTTGAAACTATACATTTTTGTCCCTAAAAACTTTGCCATATTGGAAAAGAAAATGTATTAAATGTATTTTCTACAGTAATATGAGGAAAACATGATCAGTTGTGCCAAAGAAGTTTTTACATTGTTTACATGAAGAAGCTACAACACTTACTGGGGACTTATGTGATATTTTTGTTTACTAATAAAACATTACATTCAAACTTAGTAGCTTTGACATATAGGAAGAATGTTCCTCTTAAAGCAATTTATTTTTGTTGAGAGGAGGCAAGAAGTGCTGAACTTATCACAGTCATTCTTTGTGTTAGAAATGTAGGAGTGTGGTGGTTCCCTGCAATCTTTAGAGCTTTACTCTCATAATTTGAAATTTAAGATAATAAATAGTAACAAGGCTAGTCTTATATGTAAGATAGTTCAAACAATATCATTTCAGGGACAAAGGAGGCCTGGAAGCCCTTAAAATAAGTTATCTTAGATGTACCAGGACTACTCAGAGCTTTATTCTTTTAGCTTAAGGCTTTTTAGTACTTGTAAAAATGCAAACATTCTTGAGAAATGGTACCTTTAATCTCTGAATTCTGAATACCTTATTGTGAGTGAGGCATCCAAAGCAATTTTTACTCAGCATGGGGGATGGAAGTTATAAAAGGAGGGCAGTGGAAATCTTGGGAGGAGGAAGTGAGAAATGGTTAAGGAGGGGAACTTCAAAACTTTTAGGCTGGCCTTAAGCACTATTGCTGCTTTCCTAAAAACTTTCAGAATGTTTTAATGCTTTATCATTCACGGTCCACACTCAACTTGACATTTTCCTTCAATAACTTTAAAAAATCATTGTTACATTTTTTCCATACATTTTTATAATACAGAAAGTTAACTCAAGATTCCATAATACAATTTTTCAGATTTGTCTAATGTGTACTGTAACTTGTGCATCTTAACACAGTGCATCTTAAGTGCAGATTTAAACATGACACCTGAGGACCATGACTTCCTCCTTTCTTGGAGCTCTTGGTATAAAATTCATCTGCTAATGTGAACTCAGGTTTCTACTCAGTTCATCTCATACTAATTAGAGAGATAGTTAATGTGTGCATGAGGAAACAACTTATGTCTCAATCTTTAGTTTCATTTGGTAGTGTTTATTGTTCATACACCCTCCCCAAAATAGAATGCTGAATTACATGCTAATATTTCCATGTGTATTTTGTTGCCTTGATGTATTACACTTGTTGCATGTATATTAAACATTTTGTACCATGCATTAGTGGTCTTAATTTATCCTTGACAAAAAGTTACTTGATTCAGGTTACACACTGAGTTGACAAATAGGGTAAAAGTATATTACCTAACTAGAGGGAGGCCCGGTGCACGAATTCATGCACAGGTGGGGTCCCTCAGCCTAGCTAGTGATCAGGGCTGATCAGGGCCTTCTCACCCAGGAAGGGACTGTAGGAGGTTGGCCGGCTGCGGGAAGTTGGCTGTGGGAGCGCACTGACCACCAGGGGGCAGCTCCTGCGTTGAGCATCTGCCCCCTGGTGGTCAGTATGCATCATAGGGACGGTCGCTTAGGCTTTTATATACATAGATATCTAAAATATTAGTATCAAAATGGTTTTGGAAGAATCCTTATTTCAACTTATATAAAATTAGAGGCCCAATGCACGAAGATTCATGGAAGAATGGGCCTTCCTTCCCCTGGCTGCCGGTACCGCCTTCGCTCTGGCCAGAGCCACCTTTCCGCCTTCCCACGCTGCCTAGAGGCCTGGAGTGGCTGGGGCCATGCAGAACACCTGCACCCTGCCCCCTCGGGGCCTGTGTATGTAAATTAACCCACCATCTTTGTTGGGTTAATTTGCATACCCACTCCTGATTGGCTGGTGGGTGTCATGAAGGTATGGTCAATTTGCATCTTTCTCTTTTATTAGTGTAGATTGAATACATTTTATTTTTTGAAGAACATGACACCCTTTTGAGTACACACAGCTATGGAGTGGCACAGTACAGCAATGGTCCTGGCAGTGTTACTGATAGGCTAACATAATTGCCAACGTTTGCTTTCTCAGCTGCCAAATGGAAACATCACCATCTTCTCAGCACCTGTCTGAAGGCATCAGGATGATTTCAGCACTAAATGAAATCATACGTGCATATTTGTAATAGGTAAGTGCCAAAGTCAAGCTACTAATTATGATTGACAAAACTTTAAGTCAGTTTGTAAGTCATCTTTATTAGATTTACATACAAGTTTTCAAGTGGTTAAAAATGTCTCACAGTTACAACTTATGGAAATTCTTTGCAAAGTTCCTATCATTAGGTGAAATCTCCACCTCTGAAATGTCACATGACTGCTTTGAAAATCAGGGCTCTTAATTTTTTTTTAAGTTAGTTCACTTTGCTCTTCCTCTAAGCAAAGCAGCTTCTATGTAGGTTCAGCATTTGTTCTTTTTAATGGATAGGAAGGGGGAGATAAAATTATATGTGTCATTAATAGTACCCTTTAAAATCATATTTTAGTTTAAACCAAACTTTAGATTGTTGTAAAATACGTTACCTTATTATATGTCACATTTCCCATACTGTCAGTTATTTTTCTAAAACACAACTAAAATCAAAATTTCACAACACTTGGCCTTACTACATGACACATTCTGGTGTTTTCTGTTCTATGTTGTGGTATTTTCTTTCATTAAAAATAAATGGTCTTGCGGGGAAAAAACCAATACCCCAACTCTGTAAGTATTAGAGCTGTACCAAAATACTGCCTTTGTCTCCTGTTGTCTTCTTGTTTCTCCTTTGGCACACAAGACCTCTGACTACATTTCCAACCTGATCTCCTACCACATCGCCATGTATACCCATTGCTCAAACTGGGACATATCCCATTGCCTGCTTCCCGGTATACTTAATCTGCATCATCTGCCCTAATCCTAGAAGCATTTCCTGCCCACTCCTCCTTTTCCCCCAGGCTGAGTGGAGAATCCATGAATCATAGTTTTCAAATCCACTTGAGGCCAGTGACAGTTTCTGACAGTTTTGTTATCTTTTTTTCCATCACCATTTATCCCCCTACACCCTCCTCACCGACTCCCACATCTGAAACATCTTCTCTCCAGTGTTTTTCATACTGCCTATCACATTAAAGGTCTCAATAAGTGATGAATGACAGATTACATTTTGGAAAAAAGTTCAAAAGTGATAGACTATGTTTTCCCACATCCCTGGATTTGTGCCCTGTAAAAAAGGAGGGAAGAATTTAAAGGAGTCATATGTGATTAAGTATAGTGAATAATTTTCCTAGAAATAAAAGGAAAATTAGAATTCTGTACTCTTAAAAAGTCAAATGTGTATTATATGAAAAGTAGCAAACATAATACTTGAAGAAGACATTTCTTCTTAAAAATGTACACATAAATTAAATATGTATGTTGGAAAATTTATCATTAATAAAATGAAAGTTTCCTTTCAGCAACATTACCAAGAACACAATTTCTAGCCAAACTCTTTTTGGTTGCTACTTTTTCTTTTTTTAAAACAAAAGTATTTATGCTTATTTACTACTTAAGTACAGAGAAAGCTGAAGCTTTCGTTTTTCATCCGGATACACTGCATGTAATACGTATTAGAAAAACTACTAGGGAATTATATATAAGTTATTTTAGTCATAAATCATAAGAATTTCCCACAAGTGCAATCAGTATTTATTTATAAGTGATAGTAAGTTGAAATATGTGATTGCTTTTTGAAGCATAGTTCTAAATCTCAATTTTCTGCCTTTTTCTACCAATAAGTTATCAAAAAGAAGCATAGCAAAACCAAGGTAAATTTAATACTGTTAAACAGCAGTGTTCCAGATAAACATTCTTACACACATTTTATGAAAATATTAGCTAAAGGTACAGTGATAATTTTAACTTAAGCAAAATATTTTAATGAAAGTATAAGTTAAAATAATTATATTTTTATGGATAATTATGTTGCAAATTTAAGGTAAATCAACACAGGATAAAAACAAAAGGTTACATACAAATCCCATATAATTTATTTCTGGTAAAACATATGAGTTTTTTACTATAATACAAATACATTAATTCCTCTGTGAACATCAGAGCTTTAACACCTAAATATATTACCTATTTTAGGGGGGAAATGTTTCACATTTTCATAAAATACACATAGTTTGCAATAAAGTGCTTTTCTTATGTATATCCTAAGAAAATCCAACAAATACTTTAAAAAATATCATTTCTTGTCCTGCCATAATCTTTTTATTTCATTCCTATAGTCATAAGCTAAATTACTTAGGCATTAGCCTATAGTGACCAAGGAAATTGTATGTGTAGTCTCTTGTCTAGCATACTAATGTGAGATGAATATCATCAAGGGAAATTCTAGAAATATTTTATAACTGACATTGTATTAATAATATCAAATATAATAGAACAAGCCAATAGAGCGACCTAGAGGACTCCACAGTGACACATGAATTATCACATGGCTGAAACCAGATGACCTTCCGGTGCCAAAACATTATTTTTACTTGTCTAAGTACAATGTTGTTTTCCACTCTACACCCACGCTTGACTTTAGTGAACATTTAATACAATCAGTAAACCACATTCTCTTGCAGTATCAGAATACAATACAGGATCTTTAATATCAAACTCTCAAGTTCCAAGTGTTAAGGAATAATTGTTTTTTTCTTTATAAAATGCTCAGTGGTTGTGATTTCTGAAATATCTTTTTCACTATCTCAAAAATTAGGAATACACAATTTATTTTAAAATAAGGATTATGATTTAGAGTCAAGGTAGAAATTTCTATTCATTTAAATTATCGGCAAGAAAGATACAAAATAATCGTAAGAAAAAAGAAAGGCTCTTGCCTAAGAGCTCCATCTTATTTGGCCGCGGCTATTTCAAGTTGAAGCAGCATCACTACTGCTGTTTTTGAGTATTTTTTTTCTGGAAAAAAGCCTTTCCAAATTCATATGTACTGATCATGATGGCACAAGCAGGAGCAATTTTAATTAAACGGGGAGTTAGGCCTGCAAAGAGAACAGAAAAATAGCAGAACAAATTTTACCTTATTTTAAAATACTTATTGGTTTGGTTTCATTCTGATGATGATCAAATTAAATGAAGTGATACATCAAATACTGTGCCATAAACTGGTATTCAAGAACAAGACAAACTTACTCCCAACCTCCTCAATTTAACTCCGTTACTTTACATAGAAATTTTATTAAGAGTAAATCTATTGTCATTTAACAGTTTTAAATCTATAGAAAAGATGTTTAGGAGGAAATCATAAATGTGAATTACTTTCAACAATTTCCTGCTGAATAGTTAATTTAGGAAGGATAGATTTAAAAGTAAAAGTAATAATTTTACTCAACGATTTGGTAAAGCAAATATTTTTACCTGTAAATAATCCAGAAAACCCATTCTTAGCAACAATGTTCTTCATTATAGCCCAGGTTGACATAGGCATAGAAACTAAATGTTAAAAAAAAAAGATAGCATTATGAATTACCCCTTAATTTCTAATACAGGTAAACACATAAAATAGTGTATGGCCTTTGGGGATATATCATTTCAATATAATAACAAGTTTGTCTAAAAAGTTATTTTAAATATTATTTGTAATAGTTGGATTCATTAAAAAGAAAAATTAGAAAAAGGCTATAAGTTTAAAGGTATAGAACTAAATGCAATCAAGGGGGAATATATAGAAGACTTCTCCTGAACTGATAGTATTTGTTTCTTAAGCTTTGTAGTAAGTATCCTTTATACTTTCTTCCACATATTAAAAAGTTTCATAATGAAAAATTTTAAAGATATATAGAAATATTCATGTGGTTCCCAAAGCCAAAGAGAAGTCCTGATAATCATTTTCATTAAATTTTTATTGCACACATTAAATAATATTTTTTTTTCTAAAAAGAGTTTCTGAGGATAACAGCTCATTCTCCCTAGTAAGGTTCTGCTTTATTAAAACCCTTCTGAATAGATGTGCCATATGAAATAAATTAGGTCAGTCCTATCCTCTCCAAAGGGCAGAACTGTCCTGTAACTAACAGTAACACTTCACTAATTTGCAACCATTCAAATAACTGAAAAATAGAAAAAATTAATTTGTATATTTAAAAAAATCAGCAAAAATAGATGTCACTGAGGTTCAAACATAAAGCTTATGAATGAGGCCCTGGCCAGGTAGGTCAGTTGGTTAGAATGTCATCCTGATATGCTAAGCTTGCAGGTTCGATCCCTGGTCAGGGCACATATAAGCAGCAGCCAACAAATAAATAAGTGCAACAACAGACAGTTGTGTCTCTGTCTCTGTCTTCCTCTCTCTGAATGAATGAATGAATGATGATAGGGTTTAGGCAGCTAGAAGGCTTGCACCTAAAACAGGGAAGTGGAGAAGGGACTACACTTTGGTAAGTTAAGGACAAAGTTGTCACTAATATTCATCAGATTTATTTTCAGAGGTCTATAATTAATGTTTCTTTTAACATTAGAATATCTATTTTACTTTGTATGCAAAATATCATTCTGGTGGGGAACAATTTATTTAAATTATAATAGGCTTATCACAAGGCTTCTATGACACAATTTTGTAATGGATAATTTCCATTGGGTTTGCGACACTTTCTACAGATGATATTGAAAGAATAGATCTAATGTATGCAACCAAGAGTACACTTTTGTTCTAGAAAAAATTACAGGTTATAAAGTAAAAATAAATGGAATAATAGGTAGAAAAAACACTTAAAAAGGAAAGCTAAAGTAAACAGGAAAATAATAAAATGTACAGGCATACTAATAAAACAAAACACACCAAGAGAAAAAAGGTTTCCCAGTAATTTACTATCCTTCACCTTGATTTGTCCAGATTTATTTGAAAAAAACAACAAAAAAACAACAAAAACATATAATTTAATCTTCTACATAGAACAGGTATAAGACTTAACTAATAGCAGGCAAAATACACAAACTTAGATTTCTTAATTTTTTTTTCGTTTGGGTTTAGAGTATTTTTTCCTGGATATTCCAATCTAAGAGTATATTAGTTTCAGCTAAAGAGTAAAGCAGAGGGGAAAAAAATCTTATCCCTATTCTAGATATTCCTAACTTAGTATCTGGAAAGAAAAACAAAATTTTCATGGTATCTTAAAAATGTTTTAAATGAATTAAACTTACTTTTATGACTTTCATACATCCAAAGTTGTGTCTGCTTTTGTGTTTTAACCACATCAAATGGCAAAGTTACAACAGCTGCGAACTATCAAAAAGTAAAATTGATTGATTTAAATCTGCCTTTAAATTTTTCCTAAAATTACATTCTCTTAATTAGCACTTTATTTAATAAGGACAATACTGAAAATTATAACTAAACTAACACATAAAATAAGACCAGATATATTTAAAGAAAAGCTTTTGTTAAAGAAAATATATATGTCTTAGGTATTTCTCTGAAAATTTAGGAATAAGTAAAATGTCTCAGAAAGTTCTCCTATTCCCCTGAGGTCACACAACTCCTAGTGGCAGAGACATAATTATAACCAGACATCTCTGACTTGAAAACCAGTGTTTGCAATCACCTACATTCCTGTGTTGCATTATTCCTTTACTATACATGAAGGTATAATACCTATTTTAAAACAGAAATTCTCAAATATCTAGCAAGCATTTAAAATTTTCTAACAAATGTTTAAAAAATTAAAGAAAATGGACTTTGAACTTTTAGTTCTAAATACCTATATATCTAGTTCATCTCAAAATGAACCAACTTAACAATTATTTTCACAATGACCTAATTAAGGAAAGTTTTTTTTAAAAGAATAATTAAATGCTCTTAAGAATGTCTTATAATATCTATAATAATAAAAGCGTAATATGCTATTTAGACTGGTTGTCCTTCTGGACGAAGCAGGGGCTGCGAGGCAAGCCCAGGTCCCAGGTGCCAGAGGGAAGTCAGTGCCAGCAGCCAGGAGAAGGAAGGCCTACTCTTGCATGAATTTCGTGCATCAGGCCTCTCGTCCTATATAATAAAAACCTAATATGCATATTGACTGAACAGCAGAATGACAGGTTGCTATGATGTGCACTGACCACCAGGGGGCAGATGCTCAACACAGGAGCTGCCCCCTGGTGGTCATTGCACTCCAACAGGGGGAGCACCGCTCAGCCAGAAGCTGGGCTTACAGCTGGCGAGAGCAGCTACAGTGGTGGGAGCCTCTCCCACTTCTGTGGCAGCACTAAGAACCCCTCGGGGGATGTCCACCTGCTGGCTTAGGCCCACTCCCTGCCTAGGGCACAGACTGGGCTGAGGGACCCCCACATCAAGTGCACAAATTTTGTGCACTGGGCCTCTAGTCCTATATAATAAAAGAGAAACATGTCAATTGACCATCCCTTCGCTATGCTCACCAGCCAATCAGGAGTGAGTATACAAATTAACCCAACAAAGATGGCAGGTTAATTTGCATACACAGGCACTGGGCGGAGAGCAGAGCGGGAGAGCCAGCAGCTTGGGGGGACGTGGCCCCCTCGGTCGTTCCCCCAAGGAGCCGGGCGGAGAGCAGAGCAGGAGAGCCGGAGGCTTGGGGGGATGTGGCAGAGTGAGAGGCTGTGGGACGGAAACAGAGCAGGAAGGGAAAACCCAGAGCGCGGGGAGCACCAGGAATGCTGGGAATCATAGTTCTGGTGGCAGCCCCAGGACCGGAAGCGGAAGCCCAGATCGCAGGGAGCACCAGGAATGCTGGGAATTGTAGTTCTGGTGGCAGACGGATCTCCTAGACCAGTGATGGCAAACTTATGACACTTGTGTCAGAGGTGACACGCGAACTCATTTTTTTGGTTGATTTTTCTTTGTTAAATGGCATTTAAATATATAAAATAAATATCAAAAATATAAGTCTTTGTTTTACTATGGTTGCAAAGATCAAAAAATTTCTATATGTGACACGGCACCAGAGTTAAGTTAGGGTTTTTCAAAATGCTGACACGCCGAGCTCAAAAGGTTCGCCATCACTGTCCTAGACATTAGAGCAAAGTGAGCCTGGAGCAAGTTACTGTTGCGGTGGGGGATGGAGGGAAAGCAAAGGTGAGAGACATAAGTAAAATCAGAGTGTCTAGGAAATTAAAGGGAAGATATCCTAAAACTTCCAGGAAATCTCCACCAATGAAGCAAAGGAAAAAAAAATGCCTCTATTATTCTGTGAGGAACAAACCAAACTGGGTTGTATGATTGCAAAGACACACAGAAACTCCTGGATTGGAGAGGGCTCCCAGATTGGAGAGGGTGCAGGTCAGGCTGAGGGACCCACCCCAAGTGCATGAATCTTCATGCACCAGGCCCCTAGTCTAAACTAATAAAAGAGAAACATGCAAATTGACCGCACCTCTGCTATGCCCCAAGCCACGCCCACCAGCCAATCAGAGCGACTATATGCAAATTAACTCAACCAAGATGGCGGCCGGCAGCCACAGAGCTGGAGCAAGCAGGAGGCTTGGTTGCCCCGGCGATGGAGGAAGCCAAGCTTCCTGCCTGCCCTGGCCGGCTGTGGCCTCCGCTAAAGGCAACAAAGTTTCAATTATAGAAGATAAATAAATCCCAGATACCTGCTTCCAGCCAGCCTCCACTGGGAGCTTGGGTGGCTGGGGGCTGTGGCCAGCCTTCAAACAGCCATCAGCCCTCACCCAGGCTGGCCAGGCACCCCAAGGGGGACCCTCACCCTGAAGGGGCTGTGGCCAGCCTGCAAACAGCCATCAGTCCTTCACCCAGACTGGCCAGGCACCCAGGCAGGGACCCCCACTCTGAAGGGGCTGTGGTTAGCCTGCAAACAGCCATCAGCTCCTCACCCAGGCTGGCCACACCTTTATGGGGTGAGGGTCCCCACGGGGGGCTTGGTCAGCCTGCAAACAGCCATCAGCCACTCACCCAGGCTGGCCAGGCACCCCAGTGGGACCCCCACCCTGATCCGGGACACCCTTCAGGGCTCACCAGCTGGCCCCACCCATGCACCAGGCCTCTATCCTATATAATAAAAGGGTAATATGCAAATTGACCCTAACAGCAGAACGACTGGGAATGACTGGTCACTATGACACACACTGACCACCAGGGGGCAGACGCTCAATGCAGGAGCTGTCCCCTGGGTGGTCAGTGTGCTCCCACAGGGGGAGCTCTGCTCAGCCACAAGCCAGGCTGACGGCTGCCAGTACAGCGGTAGTGGTAGGAGCCTCTCCCGCCTCCTTAGCAGCACTAAGGATGTCCGACTGCAGCTTAGGCCTGCTCCCCGCTGGCAAGCGGACATCTTCCGAGGGCTCCTGGGCTGCCAGAGGGATGTCTGACTGCCAGCTTAGGCCCAATCCCCCTGGGAGTGGGCCTAAGCCAGCAGGTGGTCATCCCCAGAGGGGTCCCAGACTGCGAGAGGGCACAGGCCAGGCTGAGGGATGCCCCTGAGTGCACAAATTTTTATGCACCGGGCCTCTAGTTTGATATAAAAGGCATGTACAGTAAATAAACGCGATCTTTTATTTTATTTGGCTTCTGGACTCACATTTGATCAATATACTCATAAAATGACCCTTAAAATCATTTATATTTCACCTGAAAAAATGTTGACTTAAATTCTTGAAATGAAATCAGGTTCAAAGATCTCTCAATTATTGTGTCTCCACTTACACAATCTAGTATGTAGTAGGAAAAAAATAGCAATGATGTTATATTTGTTAAATCGCTTTTTGACACTTTCTAAAATGATGTGGTTTTCTGTTTTCTGACAGGAAGCCCTGACATTGTCCACTGACATACTTTTTTTTTTTAAATCCTCACATGAAGATAAGTTTTTACTGATTGTAGAGAGAGAGCAAGGGAGAGAGAAACATTGATGTGAGAAACATTGATCAGTTGCCTCCCACATATGCCCCAACTGGGGATCAAAACCACACCTAGGTAAGTGCCCTGACCAGAAACCGAACCCACAACCTTTTTGTGTACCAAACAAAGCTCCAACCAACTGAGTTACCCAGGGCCACTGACATAATTTTTCTGTTGCAAAGACAAATTTTTATTTGAAAACAGTCAAAAGGCAGCAATATTTTCTAGATCATTAAAATTTTTTAATACATTTTTTATGTTAAACAGAATTAGTAAAATAAAACAACTTTCCTTCATATTACTGGAAAACTGGAAAAACATGCTAAAGCCATTATTACACTTTTTTTTTTTTAGATAGTAAGCATTTATTTGTAAGTTAATTGATGTCATTCCAACTGTTAGAAATTCTAAAAATAAACAGTACTTGTTTTTCTTCAGAATGGATTAAGATATAAATTAAATACAATTAAGTGACATTTAATCACCTCACAAATAAGAGGGATAATGAGAAGAGTTTGCTGGCATCGGAACTATTTAATTGCTAAAAAAAGTAATTGCTCTTTTGCCTCAATAGGCTTATAACCCACTAGGCTTAGTTTGATAAATCTCAGACCTGGGTATATTCAAAGCTGAATTTTGAACTCAGTCATAGTAGCTTTCTTAGCCTAGGTTTTTGATACAATTATTCCAATATTTTCTTGCAGGTCTCCATCAGTGAGCTTCTTCACTCTTGTTTTCATTTGGTTCCAATATGTTAGCACCTCACTCTAAGTCATCACAAATTCATTTTGTAAGTATGTGGATACAAGAAAAGTCTTTGTGGCCAAGATCATAGTGATACGAATCTGCATAAAGTCTACTATATGACTTTTCATTATGGAGATGGGTGGGAAAAGGTGAACTCTCTACTACCCCAAAAATGGTCATTTGAGATTCCTCCCTTCCAATTGTATAATTCTTTTGTTAAATTTGTTAAAATTCTTTTTAAAAGTACTTAGCCAGCCTGGGCTAGGGAGCTCTGTTGGTTGGAGCGCTGTCCTGATACGCCAAGGTTGCAGGTTCAATTCCCAATTAGGGCACATACAAGAATCAACCAATGAATGCATAAGTAAGGGAACAAATCAATGTTTCTATCTCAAATCAATTTAAAAAGTTGTTCTAAAGTACTTAGTTAATATGTTCCCAAAGAAATAAATTAGCAGAAGAGAATGGCATTATATTTATTCATTTCTATTATACAAATGAGATGACACTCCATTAAATATTACCTAACTAGGCATTTAATGAACAAATTGCAAAATACCTTGTAATAACAAAACACTATTTAAACTACTATAATTATCATAACTGTAGTTATCAAACAAGTCCAAAAGTTCAGAATATAATAATGTATATATAATAAAAACATAGATACAAAGTGCATTTTAAAATATTTGAATGGCTAGTAACTTATTCCCTCAAAATAGGATAATAAATACTCAGAAAAATTTTAAAGCAGTGCAGCTCAAAAGTGCTATCTCAATAGACATGAAATGCTATGTAATATTTTGTTCTGTTTTAATAAGATAATTATCATTCTGACATACTAACAACAAAAGAGTAAACTTACAGAACCAGACAATGCTCCTGAAGTAAAGTTGATCATAAATGTGGGTTCATATAAACCAGATTTCTCACACAACCACTTCTTTAAAAGTTCATAGTTATACCAGTACATTGCTATAAAAAACAGAATGAAATGAATGCATATTTAGAAATGAAATGCAGACCTTAGAGAAAATATTAGTGAGGTTATCTATTAAAGGAAAAGACATTATAACCTTGAAATATCTTGTTTTCTGTTTAAACACATACTAGATAAGATTTTTAAAAAAGAAACCAAATTCCCAATAATATTATAGCAGTCTTATAAACAAAAACTCTATGCATCAGTGAAATAGGACTTTAATTCCAAAATCCAACAAAGACAGTAGCAGAAAGGTAAAGTACAAGCCAATCTTATTCATGAACATAGGTATACAACCCTACAGAAATTAAATAATAAAAAGCAACTGAATCCACAGGTATTTCATAAAAGATCATATACTATGCCTAAACTGGGTTATCTGAGGAATGCAAAAGTAGCAAATAAAATAAACCCTTTAGATGCCACATACCATTTGACAGAACCATGGGACCACTTCTATTTAAAGCAAACAAAGAAATTTCTTGGAAAACTAGGGTTAAAAGAGTTATTTAACTTGATAAAGGGTATGCATCAAGAACTTATACCAAAAATAATTATTAATGGTGAAATAACAGAATTATTTCCTTTAGAACAAGGAAAATGATAAGGATGCAACATTATCATTGCTACTATTCAAAACTTTACTAGGCAGTCCATAAGATAGAAAAAAATATAAAAGCTATAATGATTAAAAGTGAAGAAACAAAGTAGTTATAATTTACATATTATTGTCTACATAGAAAACACAGAAGATATGAAGATAAATTAGAATTATAAGTTTTAAAAGTAGCTAACCATAAGCTAGTAGAGAAAATCTACTGTTACACTGCCTCAGGCACAAAGGGATTTAGGAACTTTTTTTAAAATAATAGATTTTTTAAAAAATATATTTTTATTGATTTCAGAGAGGAAGGGAGGCGAGAGAGAGAAAAAAAAACAATGATGAGAGAGAATCATTGATTCGTTGCCTCCTGCAGGCCGCCTACTGGGGACTGAGCCTGCAACCCAGTCATGTGCCCTTGACCGGAATCAAACCCAGGACCCTTCAGTCCGCAGGCTGATGCTCTGTCCACTGAGCCAAACTGGCTAGGGAAAAATAATAGATTTTAAAATAGCTGCCAGAAATTGGGGATGGGTGGGTGTATCTATAAATAAATCTTTTTTTTAAAGTGGCATATAACCTTTATGAAGAAAATTTTAAATCTCTGCTAAAACACTTTTAAAAAGAGTTATGTAATAAAGAGATATGACACTCCTAGGGGGAAAAATAAGGTAATATCAAGTTTTCTTTTATAATGCACTAGTAATTTAGACAGTACTATAGTATTAGCACAGGGTTATGCAAACTGGCCAGTGAAAGCTTGGTATGTCAGAGGTGATACTGCAGATCACTGCAGAAAGTATAATTCAACATTCAGTAAATGTTGCTGGGGTAACTATCTACCCACTTGCAGGGGAAACAAATACTTATTCACTCCATAACCCAAATCAATTATGGATACATGAATGGCCAATGAAATAGTGTCCAACCTCAGCAATAATCAGAAAAATGTAAGTTAAAGTGAGATCACCACTTCAAATTAGTAGATAAACAAAAATTAAGAACTGCAACAATAAAAGTGCTGGGGAGGGTAATTTGTCCTCTTAATTTTACTCTTGTTTATGTGTGAGTAAGCAAGTTAACAGTGCTGCTGTGAACAGTCTCTTAGTGTACAAGAATTTCTCCAGTATTAAATGTGCTGGTTCACATAAATATATATATTTAAAATTTCATTTGGTAATATCCAATTCTTTTAAAAATTACAATGTTCTAATTCATATATTGAAGTGGTGACTTCATAAGTAGACTTCATTTTATTAGTATACTTTATATTTTATTAGAGGCCTGCTGCACGAATTTGTGCACAGGTAGGGTCCCTAGGCCTGGCAAGCAATCAGGGCCAATCTGCTGGGCAACTGGCAGGGTGATCAGGGGGCCCCCACTGGCACCCACCTTGGCTGGCCTGGGACCTGCCAGCTGGGGGCAGCTCAGGCATTGAGTGTCTGCCCCCAGGTGGTCAGTGCACGTCATAGCGACCAGTCGTTTTGCCATTCGGTCAATTTTCATATTAGCCTTTTATTATATAGGATATCTATGTTACCTGTCTTGTGTCAAATATATAATACAAAAATTAAAAATAGGAATTGGCCTAGGAATCTATGATTAATTACACACTGTATGTTTCTAAACAGCATAACAACTGATCACAAAATGCTGGAGAAAAATACTAATGAAAAGGAAAAGATGTATAGAGATATGAATAAAAGAACCAAAGAAAAGGATTAACTCAAGAGAAAAAAAGAAAACAGAACATTAATATAAAGGTTCTTAATAATTATTTCTTTCAGGTCTTAAAGGAAAACTCCAATGATACACATGAGAAATGGTACTGAACTATGCACATTCTACAAGTTAACTTTAAACGTCTTTTTCATGATTTTCACCCTTTTCATAATTCAATAATTAGCACAATCTTCTATCAGATTTATAACAGTCTTATTTACAGGACACTCATTTAATGGGGAAGGTTTTTATCTTTGATAATTGAAAAAAGTAGGAGTTAATATTATTCATACGCAATCTTAAATGTAATTTGTGATATTTTTATTTATAGTAGTTTACTTACCGTGCTAATTATAACTTACTTAGAATAAGTTAAAGATAGTTTGTATTATCTAAATATAAATAAATACCAATTAATGTTGGAAAAGAAATTAAACACAAGAAAATAAAACCAGGCTTAAATTAGAAACTATTCCTATCTAATAAAGAGGGAATATGCTAATTGACCCTCATGCCATTGCAAAGATGGTGACACCCACAGCCAATAAGGAGAGAATATGCTAATTGACCACCCCGCCCTCAAAATGGCAGCACCCACAGCCAATAAGGAGGGAATATGCTAATTGACTGCCATGCCCTCAAAGATGGTGGCGCTCACAGCCACAAGATAGCAGTGCCCAGTCCCCTCAGCCCCGCTGGGGTGGCAGGTGTGCGGCAAGGCCAGCCCTCCTGCCTCCAGAGTCCCCCAGTCCCCTCAGCCCCCCAGCTGCCCAGGGCTGGCCCAAGGCACAGGCAAGCCTCGGATGGTGGCTGCCCAGCCGCCCAGGGCCGCTCGAGGCGCAGGTAATCAGGGCTGGCCAAGGCTTGCGCTGTCGGCAGTGGCAGCAGCAGAGGTGTGATGGGGGCGTCTCCTTCCCCTGATCGCCGGGTTGCCTCCCACCCCTGAGGGCTCCCGGACTGTGAGAGGGGGCAGGCCGGGCTGAGGGACCCCCCTCCAGTGCCTGAATTTTCATGCACCGGGCCTCTAGTTTATTCAAGGAAGACTCATAAAGCTTTGAGAGCCCAACACTGATCTAGGAGTTTTGGTTACTAAAGAAAAGAGCTCACACTTAACCTTAAGGGATTTAAAATATAGTTGATTTTAAAGTAATATATAAAAAGACAAAGCTAATTAAAATTTAGCAGATATTAATAAGATAAATCCTACCTGAGAATGGTACATCTCTAAGAAGAGTAGGAGTCCAGCCAGTCCAAAGGGAAATCCAACCATCTTTGGACACTTTCTTGGTGACAAATTGATGCAGCTCCTTGTAAGAAAACCTCTTAGATTGCATCTTGGTTCTTATCAATTCTAAGGGACTTATTACAGTTACTGCACCAACTAATACAAACAAGCAAATATTAAAAAACAAAACCAGAGCCATGTACTATGCAAATACACATGCAAAATTAATACTTCATGCATTTTATATTTTAAACTTCTATTTTGAAAAGTCTGCAAACCTTAACATCAAATATCTAATGCCAACATACTGGCGCAGATTTATTTTCCTTGATAAAGTTCTTTCTTAAAAGTCTGTTTTCAGCCCTAGCTAGTTTGCTCACTGGTTACAGCGTCGGCCCTTAGACTGAAGGGTCTCAGGTTTGATTCCGGTCAGAGGCATGCGACTAAACCTAAAATCTAGAATCTAGTCTAAAACCTAAATTCATTCTAATATCTCTGATCGAGATTCAACATGAATGGGTTGATCCCATTTCATTCTGATAGCAATTACCATGCCATATGCCTTCTAGAGTATAAATATTAACAAATCAGTAAAAACTACAAATGCAAAATATATATTATCAATACTCTGAATTTCGTACAAATTCTCTGTGAATGTCAAAATTGTAAAAGATTCTTTAAGCAGAAATCAAAATGAAAATATAATAAAGGTATTACTTACATCTGGCCACAATTCCAGCAACAATTGGTATATGGCTTTCATTTTCTCCTAATTTAGATTTCAGGAGAGCAGTTAATTGATCATAGCAGGTAAAATAGATAACTGTAGCAGGAACTGCCATTACTCTGTTAGAAACACACACAAAAATTTACATAAAATTATCAAATTTTTAAATATAAATACCTTATATTTTGTACAAGCTAAAAATCATAATGAATCAGCCCATGAGATCAATTTTTCTTTTATTTTAAATATTATTAACTTATTAGGTTTTTAAAATAGGTATCTGCCCTCCAGAAGTTTACATTCTAGTTGTGAAAATAAGTTAAGTACCAGTCAGATCATAAATAGTAAAAGATAAATGAGGACACTTCTCTGTCTCCTAGTCTTGTTCTATCTGCTTCTGGTCTCCCAAATCTTCCCTCCCAATTATATTTACCATAACATAAAAATCACTGAAGTAAAAAGTACAAGAGCAATTGTAAACTATTTTTGAAATATGGACCATATTCCATACCACCTTACAAAACTGGAAATAAATTACCACTAATGATGCCATGCTTATATATACTACTACTGAGGAATTTCTGATAACATTCTTTTAAATGAAAATATCAAAAGGGAATTATTAATTAAATTAAATACAGTTGCAGACACTGTCATGTCATAAATGTTAATGCAACAAGAAACCTTTCTATGTTAATAGACTAGCTAAAGTACATTCACAGACCATATTTTGGAATGCCTAATGTTCTAAAATGAAGTTTGATGATGAGAATTTAGATACAATTAACTTGGATCTAACCACTAACTTTATAACCTTAGGCAGTTAAAATATATGCCTCTAAGTTGACTACCAAAAAATAAATTAGAAAGAAATGAGGTATATAAAGGCAAGTTATTAGTTGGGATTTTTAATTTGGCCTTACTAGTTTATCACATTAATTCATATAATAGCTTGTTAGAAATTTAAAATTATCTGGAAAAGGAAAAGTATACTTATCACAGTATCTCTTTATTTTAGTAAAAAAAACACAGTCAAACACCAAATTCTTAATTTCTGAACATGAAAAAAAGTTATGCTTGTGCACCACAGACAACACAACAAGCCTGGTTGCTCAAATCTTGTATACGTTCAGGAAGGCATTATTTGTATGCTTGACCTTTGGCCAACTTCAAGAAATGTAGCCCTTGGAATATTCCCCATTATAAGGTTTTTCTGTATACCTGGAGCATTATTTCAACTTGTCTGGATTGATTTATATAAATGATATGATTTTTGGTAAACATCTGCTTTCCTTTTAGGGGTCTGAAGTTTTGGTAATCAGAGTTGTTCAAAAACACAGAATATGCCTGTGTGATCAACCAGTAAAAGCCCTAGGAAACGCCTTACACAGGCTGCTGTAGTTCAATGCTGAAAGAATGAGCACACAAATCATACTCCCCCCCTCAAAACAAAACAAAAATAGAAAAGAAAAAAAAGAAGAAGCACATCCTGTGCAATGTTGCGAGGGAGGACTTTGGAGCCTATTGCCTGGTCAACTTCTTTTGTGTCTTTTTCCTTTACTAAACCATAGTCGGGAATATAACCTTCATTAGGTCCTGTGAGTCCTTCCAGCAAATCATAAATGTGTTGGTGGTTGTGGGACTCACAACACAATGTTTTAAAATATGAAAAAGTTCTAGTATTAAAAATGCACAGTTTTTTTAATCATGCTGTAATGCAAAACAACACTATCATTTAGTAAAAGGAAATATTAAATTTCAACTTACAAGGTGGGGGGAAGGCCACTCCACAGAGATTTAATGCCCTCATTTCGAATGATTTTCAAAAATGCATCCTAAAATCATAATAGAGAAAAGTAGTCAAAATATATTCCTGAACCTGACATACAAAAAGTTTATAATAATAATTGGTAATTTGATTCTCTCAAGTGTTTATTTCTAAAATACAAGTTTTTCAGATGTATGTATGGCCAATCTTTTTTTTTTCCCCCTAAGGAATTGTCCTTAACTTTCAAACACAAGTAAAGGATTCTGGATGATACTTTCAGCTTACAGAATAAAGTCTGTATTACTCAGCTTTGGATTGTTCTAATTAGCTCTAAGAAACCAAGTTTTTCAAAAATTATTATAAAAAGAAAGTGGAATAATGGCAGAGAATTTGTCAGATTAATTCTGCTTGCCAATTATGAAATCTGAGAAAATATCATTTAAATCCAATATTTCAAATCTCTGGAGAGGAACCAAAACCAGGCAAAAACTAAAGGGAAATCTGCTGTTAAAGGACAAAGTGCAACGAGTGAGATTTGCAAATCTGCAGCTTTTTTTGCCTATGGAAGTGGCAAAATATCCACAGCAAAGTTAGCTGGTTGAGATGGCAAGTACAGAGTCCAGGCTGGAAGAATAATCAGACAGCTAGGGGCAAATCCTGGAAAGGAAGCCCCCAATGTGCATGCAGGAGCAGCCATAAAACTTGGCTCTCTACTAACTTTTATGCAATCCCAGAGAAAGACCACAGGGTCCTACAGTCCACCAGAGGGAAGCACGAGTTTAAGTTTGAATCCGGCCAAAGTTTAACTGCCTTCTAGAACAAAACTAACTCTTCAGAAGTATATAAAAGAATCCAGAGTTTTTATAATAATCATTCGCAATATCCATTATCCAATCAAAATTCAGTAAACAAAAAGAAACAAGAAAATGTGCTCATACTAAAAAAAAAGTGGAGTAGAAACCAACAAGCATGATTTAGATGAAACAATTGGCAGCTATTATAAACATGTTCAAGAATTTAAACATGATGTATGCATAATGAATGAACAAATTTGGAATTTCAAAAAAAGTTACTATAAAAAAACAGCCAAATGAAAACTCTACATCTAAAGTGAAAAATCTACTAAGTGGGCTTCACAGCAGAAAGAAACAGCAAAGAGCAAGTCAATGGATTTAAACCTGAAGGGAAATACAGGATAGGCAAAGTATATTTACAGTGGTGAGTATGCAAAACACAGAGTTTATTCTTATATTGCTATTTATTCATTATTGTATTATTTTCCACATGAACAACTGTAAACCTATAAAGTAGTATAACAACCTTATTTCAAGTCATAGATGAAAGAAGAGAGAATGGGTACAGGAAAAAAGTTAAGCCAGAATTCTATATGCAGCAAAAATACGCTTGAAAAAATGCTCAATAAGTACATTTTAGATGAACAAAAACTGAAATACTCTGACAAAATACCTTTAATAAAGAATGTTGAAAGAAGTTCTTCAGAATGAAGTGTTCACAGAGAAAAACAATGAGTAGTTTTTTATATTTACTTTCACAACAAAATCTGTGAATGAAATGTATGTAGCAGCTTTATTCAAAATAGCTAAAAATTGGAAACAACTCAATATCTATATCAAGGAATAGTATAAGAAGGAACAAACTACTGAAACATGCATCAATGTGAATGAATCTCTACATAATTATGCTAAGTGAAAAGTGCCTATCCCAAAATATTATATATGTTATGAGCCTATTTAAATAATATTGTTGAAATTACAAAATTATATAAATGGAGAACAGACTAGTGGTTGCCAGGAGTTCAGAGCAGGTGAAAGCACAAATGGGTATGTCTATAAAAGGGCAAAAGAAGGATCCGGTGGGGATGGAATTGTTCTGTATCTTAACTGTATCAATGCCAATATCCTGGTTGTGGTATTATACTTGTTTTGTAAGATGTTACTATTAGAGGAAACTGGAAAAAGGGTACTTGGAACCATCTATATATTTTTCTTAAAATTGCGTATGATCTATAATCTCAAAATAAAGAATATTTTTTAATTTTAAAAAATATACACCCCCACTTTTGTTCTACATAAAAAACATGAACAGCCCTGGCTGGGTAGGCTCAGTGTTAGAGCAACGGCATGTGGACTGAAGGGTCATGGGTTCAATTCCAGTCAAGGGCACATACCTCAGGCTGCAGGCTTTATTCTCAGTCTCTCCTCTGCGGGAGGCAACCAACTGATGTGTCTCTCTCACATTGATGTTTCTCTCTCTCTCTGTCTCTCCCCCTCCTTCCACACTCTCTGAAAAGAATCAATGGGAAAAATATCCTCAGGTGAGGATTAACAAAACGTTTTGTGTGTGTGTGTGTGTGTGTGTGTGTGTGTGTGTGTGTGTTTTTAAAAGCATGAAAAGAAAGTTAGTGTTAAAAGCAAAGAAGTACTTTCCCTTTCCTGCTTCAATATCCACTTTTTATCTGTGGGTAAATTTGCTAAGTATATGATAAAATTTTACTGTCATGTAATTTGAAAGATCTTTCACTCACGAGATTAAATATAAAAATAGAAAATATACTGTGATTATACATAATATAATCTCCTTACTAATGTTCCCCGGAAATATCCTGGCTTCTTATACCATGCTTTGTTGCCTTCCTCTTCACAGATACAGAGATGATCCATAAGTCCATTATTATATACAAAACATTTTCCTAACAAAGAAGATTACAACAGTCAACAATTATGTCATACAATTGTATTATTTTTATTGATTAAAAAATTGAAATTACAATGAGGGGACTAGAAAATTGTAAGAAAATATATAATCTTGTCCTTACCTTTTGGGATGAAATATACATAAATTGATTTGCTTAATGACACAGCATTGAGATCTAAATTCACAGTGGTTAAAAAAGTGAGCAAATTTTATGTTTTCAGAAGTGCAGTAAGCAAATGCAAACAGAAATAAATATTTTTTTTTGGTTATGTGGGGGGATGGAGAGAAAAGATAAAAGGAGGAAAACCTGTTTTGATATGAGAATATGAGTGTACGTCTTCTCTATTTGACAAGAAAACTCTGTGGTATGAAAGGGAAATGCAGACAAAAATATATTATGAAATCTAATGTATATTTGAATGCTGCTAAGAGAGTAGATCTTTAAAGTTCTCCTGACAAGAAAAGCAAATTTGTGAAGTAATGGATGTTAACTAAACTTACTGTGGTGATCATTTTGCCATGTATACATATATATTAAATCATTATGTTGCATACCTAAAACTAATACAGTGTTATTTGTCAAATATATCTCAAATAAAAATCATCCTCTTACCTAATTAGTATAGGTTTATGAAAGTGTTATATATACATTTGTTTTCTGCCTAGATCTCATCATGTACAATTAGGTGATGAAAACCTGCTTCTGCATTATGGTACAGTTTTTTGATTGACAAAAAAAGATTAACATTCAAACAAAAATGAATGCAGTAACACTTAAAAATCTGACATAAACTTCCAGTACATAACTAGTACATACCTTTGTAAAATTGGTTGCTTTGGGCTTGCAGTCGAATTTTAACAACATCCAGGGGTGTCACTATGAAGATATGTAAGTTTCAATTAACAAGAGACACATGTAAGTTTAGAAATGTTTGTCCAAAGAACACAAAATACAGGATGGGGCAAAAGTAGGTTTACAGTTGTGAATATATATTATTTTTTATTAATTATTGTATTATTTCTATACAAACAACTATAAGCCTAGTTTTGCCCCAACTTGTGTATTGAACCATACTTTTCCTCATGACTATATAATGGGTAAGGTTATTTATCTTAAAGTGATTTTGAATGTAACGTTCTAATATTTACCCTTGAATTTTGTTTGAAGAGGATCAATGAGAAGACGATGTAATTACTTCTGCTACAAATATTAAAATGTCACTTAAAATTTTTCTACAACTATAATTCCATTAACATTAAAACTAAAAGACTAGTCCAAAAGTCTATTTAAATATGGAGAATAACTGTATTATAAGTAATCAATAATCAAACAATAGTAGTCTTCCTAATCTATTAAATTTACTTGTATCAAATGAAAACTATAGTTAATGTAAATTTGAGTAAACTAGTCATACAGCATCTTTATCAACAGGTTGTGTTATTCCATTTTGGAACAGCACAGTAAAGGAGAATGGTTTTAACTTGCATGCTCTATTTGGCCCAAGCAGAAAAAATGCCAAATAATGGTACCAAAGAAAACTTTCCCTCATCTGACAATGATCTCTAAGGCCTTTACAACTCTAACATTCTGACCTGAAGTAACATATTACCATCCTAAAGCAATTAGTTTATGTTTGTTCTAGTTATCTGCTATGTTATTGAAATAAACCAGCCAAGTTAAAATCATTATGTTCAACTGTCACCTAACTATGTCATTTGGCTGTATCTACAAGAAATTGACTATAAATTAAAAAACAAACAATAAAACCCCACAGAAAAAAGTGGTCCAGAGAAATTTAAGAAATTCACCATTAATATAAGAAAAGTTAAACAATTTGTATTCATTGCTATTGTAAATTGTCCAAATTCTGTATTATTCATTATGCTGATGTTTTATTTCATCTTCTTGCTATTTTAAAAAAGGATAAAAGTCAGAAAATTTTAATACTAATAGGGACCATAGAAAACTCCTAAGATAAGCTCCTAATTTACAGATGAAAAATAAAGCTCAAGAGAAGTAGAGACAATCCCAAAGTACATTCACCCTGAGAATGACAAAGCAAGGACTAAAATTCAAGTCTCTTGATATTCTGTCCTGGGTTCTTTTCATGTTATGCTGATGGAGGGATACTGTTATTTATGAAGGATGAATAATAATATTAGCATTATTTCACAGATAGTAAAACTCAAATGAATTGATTCACCCAGTTACATAATCTACATCAGTAACATTATTTTACCCATTAGTGATGTCAGTATGGCCCCAGTACAAGAGGCAACAATCTGTTGAAAAGGTGTCACATTGCAAATCTGTGGTCTCTCTCCTTCAGGATCCATATTTTTAACTAATTGAAGAAAAATCTGTTAAAGAAAAGCAAGATGTAAGATAAAAGTTTAATGGAAAATGCCCTCAAAATTCACTGCTATAAATTTAAAAAACTATAAAAACAATAATCAGCATTAATGTCAAAGCACATTGTGACAACTATCAAAAGTAAATGTGTAAGTTCTATACACAAAGGCATTACACAACTGTCATTAATAGAACATGTCCTCTGATTTTTCAAAAAGGGTAAGTACTTCAGCTAAGCCATGAGCAGCATCACACTTGCAAGACAATAAAGCATTAAGAAAACAGACTCTATGTAAAAGAATGAAAGCACCCGATCAACAAGACTCAGAATCTGTGAATTTAGCCTCTTAAGAACTACTCAGATACTTTAATATGGCAGAGTTATCAGCAAATATAACCTGATTTTTACTGCATACCAAAAGTTGTTACAAAGGTATAAAATAAAAACACATAACCTCCATAAGAAGCATTTTAGAAAAATTTGATGAGAAAAGCAAAATATACTTTCTAAAAACAAAGTTAACAAAAAAAAGCATTAAAAAAAGCATAAAAATCACTTATAAACTTGCTACTCAAAAATAACAACTGGCAAAATATAGGTGTCATCTCTCCAAATGTCATGTATACACAAACACATATGTAAATATACAAATGTTGTGTGTATATATTATATACAGGGTGGGGCGAAAGTAGATTTACTGTTGTTTTTACATGAAGCAGAGTTTATTCTTGTATTATTATTGTTTTTTTATTTTCCAAACAAACAACTGTAAACCCACTTTTGCCCCACCCTATATGTATATGTAGATATTATCTGCAGGTGCAGATTACATTTAATTAAACATGATTAAATAATTGTATATCTGTGTACATACTTTTTTAAAACAAAATAGGTTACTACTATTGTATGTAAATTGTAATTGAAAAATAAAATAAACAAGATAAGTTACTACTATTCATGTTGTTTAGTAGACCACTTTGACACTTTAAAAAATATAGACAGTGTCAATAAATATAGATCTACATTATCATTTTTAATGCTTGAAGTTTTTAATTTCATTAATTTAATCAGCCTCATATTGTTAGATCTTAAGGTTACTGCCAATTTTTCAATGGTGAATATGTTCTCCCATTCAGTGGGCTGCTTTTCATTTTGTTGATGTTTTTCTTTGCTGTACAAAAACTTTTAAGTTTGATGTAGTCCTATTTGCTTATTTTTCCTTTATTTCCCTTGCCCCAGGAGGCATATCAGAAAAAATATTGCTATGAGAAATGTCTGAGATTTTACTCCCTGTATTTTTTCTGGAATTTTTATATTTCAAGTCTTACATTTAATTCTTTAATCCATTTTGAGTTTATTCTTGTGTATGGTGTAAGAAGGTGATCTAAATTCATTTTTTTGCACATATCTGTCCAATTTTTCCAACACCATTTATTGAATAGACTGTCTTTACCACATTGTATGTTCTTGCCTCCTTTGCTGATATTAACTGACCATAAAGGCATAGTTTATTTCTGGGCTCTCTATTTTGTTCCATTGACCTATATGTGTGTTTTTATGCCTAGTACCATGCTGTTTTGATTACTATGGCCTTATAGTATAGTTTGATATCAGATAGCATGATTCTTCCAACTTTGTTCTTCTTTCTCAAGATTGCTGTGGTACCTACCTGGTTTAAGTCTTTTCCTCAACTCTATGCTCCAATATTTTGTTTGTAACATCAGTAGCTGAAAATCTGTAGTGAAAACCAAACAAAACTTTTTATCTTTTCACACAGGAAAAGGATAACAAGCCTAAAGGAAAGGAGCATGTACAAAACTTTAAAACACAAATTAACATTTATTGACTGATTTCTGGTAAGTGCTTTGAGAAATATGAACACTCCAGAAATGCTAGCCTTAGAGTTATGGAAGTATTTGCAAAAAACGTTCTATTATCCCAGTAAATATATTTCACTTTAAAGACAAACAACTCTATAACCTGAACACACTGATCAATCTTAGATTTTAAGAGTCAAAATAATTGATTTTGTGACGTGAAATTAAGTATCCAGCATCATCTATGGCATATTTGGGAGAGGGGAAATTTGATCTGAATCTAAGCAATCCTTTAGATCTAACTTCCATTTAGTTCTAGCAGCCAAACTTGCTAAAATAATCTGGTATTATTTCTAATTATTGTGTAATAGTCTCTTGAGGTTGTTTTTTTTATATTGTCTGCAAATATTTGATTTCTGCCATTCTCAAACATCATGAGACTAATTTAATCCTCTTATTGCAGAGGCCAGGATTTCCAACACAATATTAGATAAAGAGTGGTGAAAATAGCCCAGCTGATAGGGCCAAGTGATTGATTGTTGACCTCTGAACCAGGAGATTAAGGTTTGATTCCCCGGGTTGCATAGGGGGCGTGCAGGAAGCAACTGATCAATCAATGATTCTCTCTCATCATAGATGTTTCTCTCTCTCCCTCTCCCTTCCTCTCTGAAATAAATAAAAACATATTTTAGAAAAAGAGTAGTGAAAATAAGTATACTTGCTCCATACCTCAATTAAAAAAAATTCTAAGATTTCCTATTAGGATGTTGTTTGCTGTAGACTTTTTGTTTTTAAACAGAGACTTTTTATCACATTAAAGAATTTTATTTCCAATCTTAATATACTATGAATTCTTTTTTTATTTCAGCTTTGAGGTAAAACTGATATATAAAATATTTAAAGCATACATCACGGTTATTTGATATACATATACACTGTGAAAAGATTCCTCCTATCTAGTTAATTAACACATCATATAATCTAGATGAAACTGACAAATGCCAAGAATCACATAAACCACCAAAACTTACTTGAGAAGAGACAGAAAATCAAAATAGACTTATAACAGATTTAATTAGTAATAAAGTCTTCCAACAAAGAAAATCCAGGACTAGTTGGCTTTACTGGTAAATTCTATCAAACATTTAAAAAATAATTAATACCAATTCTTTTCAAAGTCTTCTAATAGATAGAAGAGGGAATACTTCCTAACTCATTCTATGAAGCCAATATTACTGATACCAAAGCCAGAAAAAGACGTCACAAGAAAACTACAAACTAATATCCTGTATGTACATAAATGCTGAAATTCTCAACAAAATACTAGTAAACCAAACCCAGCCATATATCAAAACAATTCACACCATGACCAAGTGGGATTTACCTGAGAAATAAACTAATTAGATTTACTTGATACAAATGCTGACCTATCTCACTAGTAGTGTCAAATTTAAGAATCTAGATTAAGTTCTCGCTTTGATCATTCTATCAACACTGACTATTCTTACATCTAATAGAAAAGGTAAATATCTTGGTATTAGCTACTAAAAACTTGTTTTTAAAGCACACGCTATGTTCATAAAATTCAATAGGACCAATAAAACAAATTTTGATTCTACTTCACAATTTTGCTTAGGACCAAATCTTTAATAAGAATGTCACAAATGTATAAGTCTATTAATTAATTATATAAATTTCCCAAATTATCTCAGTATAAAATAACACTGATTGATCAAAAATCAGGATCAAAATATATGCAAAGACTCTGTGAAGTGGGGCAAAATAGAACTGTAGTAAAGAAAGAAATTTCAAAGACTGAAAGAAGCTACCCTTAAGTGGATCGTGGAAGAAGTCACATGAATTGTAATGGACAGCAGAATAAACATTTTACAGCAATATAATGATGACTAATCCAACAGTAAAAATAAGAATTTAACCTTTATTTAATCTATCTGCTTGGAGCTGAGCAAGATGTTTCATCTTTCCCCTATACCTTTCCCCAAAATCCTATGGCATTAAGCTTTTAAAAAGGCAACATTTATACTTAATATGTATGATTTATAATAAAACTAACACGATCACTTCATGGTATAACGCCATTAGAGAAAAATTTAGCAATATATTATAAAAAACAAAGATGTGGTGTTCTAAAATAAAACAAACAAAAAACCCTACATGAGACGCCAGTTCACACCCAGTGAGTGCCTAGATGTGAGACTCTCATATATTGCTGGAGAGAAAGGTTAAAAACGTCACTAGTTTCTCATAATGTTAAACATTCAGTAACCACATGATCCAGGAATTCCAAGAAAAATAAAAACATATTTCCACAAAAGAGCAAAAGACCAATGTTTATAGCAACATTATTCCTAACAGCCCAACACTAGAAACAACCCAAATATCTACCACCAGCTGAATGGATAACTTATGGTATATTCACACAATGGAAATACTACTCAGCAATAAAATGGAACAAACTACTGATACATGTAGTAAGATGGATGGGTCATAAAGTAACTTGTTATGCAAAATAATTCAGATCTAAAACAGATAAATTATATGTTTACATTTATACGAAGTTGAAATCCAGGCAAAACTACTTATGATAATAGAAATCAGAAGAGTGGTTATCTCTGGTGGGAAAAGGGAGCTTGGAACAAGGGTTGATAACCTTCTGAGAGGGCATAAATGTTCTATGGGGTGGTCATTACATGGATATACATATTTGTTAGAACTCATCAATCTGTATGTTTAAAATGGGTGCACTTTATCGTATGTAAATTAAGAATATTGAAACCTTTTTAAATTTAGATGATGAGTTCTCACTGGCATAGCACACTGTAGGTACTCAATCAATACAGAAGGAAAGAAGGAAGTGGGATAGGTAAGTAAACTGTTTTACAGTCATGGCCAAATATGTAGTCTGTACTACCTACCCTAAAAGAATTTACGATCTAGATCAGAATATGATATATAACCTTTGAACCAGTCACACCCCATACTGGGGATAGAGCTTGCAACCTGGGCATTTGTCCCGACTGGGAATTGAACCTTGACCTCCTGGTTCATAGGTCGATGAGCAACCACTGAGCCACCGCTGACCGGGCCCAGTTCATTATCTTTAACAGCTACTTTGGGTGCCACAGCAGCTTTTGCACTATGCTGCCTCAGAGGGCTCCACTCTCAATTTTTGAATCTTCCTGTGTTGCTTATTCTCCATTTTTACCCTTCCCCTAGGTTGTGTTCAATGACTTGACATGCTGAATTTTTCCTGCTTTCCCAGCCATGCTCACCTGAGACAATGGACTTCAGTGCCACAGCCACTAACCAACTCTATCCTTTCATATGCTTGGCCTGCCAAACTAAGAACTTAACCTCTGAAAAACCTTGGGCCTTCCAATTCACCAGAGTAACGAGACTCTAAAATGTGAAAATTAAATATTAAAAGTAGCAACAGAAGATAGTATATCAATAGTTGGCAAATTAATCCAAACAGGAATTATTACAGGCCCCAAAGGAGCAGGAAATAAAGGCTGCATCTAAGCTAGGCTTGCTACAAATAGGAAAGAGGAACAATTGCCAGCCAGGTGGAGAGACTTAAGCAAAAGAAAATAGGAAAGTGATGATATTACAGAAGAACAAATATATCCGTTTGTCTAGATTCTAGAATAAGAAAATTATATTTGTGTTTGTATGAGGTAATCTGAAAAAGTCAATTAGTTCTCATTTGACAATCACAAAAAATTACTAGGTACAGTGAGCAGATATTGTCTGCATTTATACATGAAGAAATTATAGCATAGAAAGGGTAATACTTGGCCAAGGTCCTTAAACTATTTAGAAGTAGAGCCCATGCTGAATGATTTCTGATTCACAGCTAAATGTTCCTTTAATTAGTTCATTCTACTCAATGTTCTCCTACTTTGCTTAACAGAACTCTTTAACTTCTCACCACAAATATTCTTCTTGAATGTATACTTTTTACCTGAAGCACATTTCAACACATACTTTACATAAACCTTATTCTCTTACCAACACATGAGCAGGTTTCTATACTTACAGGACACAGATATAGGACTAAGTCCTTCATCCTATGGCTATTAAAAGATTTGAGTTCCAATAATAATTTTTTTTAATTAATCTTGGGTTACAGATTAGAAAGTTACTAACACTATCTAGTAAAACAGACCCTGCTTTTCATAGCTTGGCATTATCACATGCAGTGCAGGCAAGGGTGTGCCTAAAACAGTGATGGCGAACCTATGACACGTGTGTCAGAGGTGACACGCGAACTCATTTTTTTGGTTGATTTTTCTTTGTTAAATGGCATTTAAATATATAAAATAAATATCAAAAATATAAATCTTTGTTTTACTATGGTTGCAAAGATCAAAAAATTTCTACCAGAATTAAGTTAGGGTTTTTCAAAATGCTGACACGCCGAGCTCAAAAGGTTTGCCATCACTGGCCTAAAAGCACAGGGATAATGAGATTACTGTCCTTCCTCATCATAGTAAATAAGGAAGGTAATTCATTTTTCAACAGAACATAACATGGGCTTCATTTTTTGATTTTCTTCGATAGAAACATGTTTAAATCCTTCCCATATCCCCCAAACCTTCCAAAGACCCAATCTTCCCTTCCTACCATTGTAATTCCCTACACTGACAGATTTTTTGCAAAAGTACGTACACTTAATATGTTTCCACGTCAAGCCTACCGTTACCTAGTACAGTACTTACCTTATCAATATAATGAATTTCTCACTAAGGAAACCAATGGCATCTTAAACAACCAGAATGAATCAAGTCTAAGAGTTTTTGAATTCTTGAGGATAGAGGGGCTGGTGCGGAGTTTACCACCATTACAGCACTTACTGTGCTCTCACTCTGTGCCAGGCACTGCATTAATAAGAATGTTTCATTTAATCATTGCATCTGAGAAGTATTTATTATCCTTTTTCATAAATTAAAATTGAGACTCAAAATTACCCAAATCCATATGGTTAGTGAAGCCTACATAATCCCAATGTTTTCAATTCTGTGACTTTTAAATATATATGTAATATCTATCTATATATCTATATCTATATATCTATCCATATACATATATCCATATATATATGTATATATATCTGTATATATATATATATATATATATATATATATATATATATTTATTTTATTGACCTCAGAGAGAAAGGGAGAGGGAGAGAGAAATAGAAACATCAATGATGAGGGAATCATTGATTGGCTGCCTCCCGCATACCCTCCACAGGGGATCAAGCCTGCAACCTGGGCATGTGCTCTGACCCAGAAGGAAACCATAGGTTGACACCCAACCACTGAACCACACCGGCTGGGCTTCTGTGACTTTTGACAGCGGTTTTGTTCCCAGTTCTCTTCCTAACTCTGTGGCCTTTCTCCGTCTCTCTCACTGTTTCCTCACCCTCTGCTCATCACTACTTCTCTTGCTTCACAAGCTCCCCCGAGGCAATTCCACTTCCTCCCAGGACTGTAACTACACACTATATTAGTGTTTCTCAACCTTTCAACGTTTTTTATAAACAGTAAAATCTTGCTCTCTCTCTAGTTTGCATTTTGAAAATAGGTTTTTCCCAAATAGAAATGCTACTAGTAATGTTGGATATTTGTCCAAACTGCACCTCCTCCTGCCTCTCAAGATCTGCTAACCCCTACAGCTGAGAATTAGTGACTGGTCTCGTTCTCCCATGACTGAGAATTAGTGACTGGTCTGTGTGATGTCCCTCAAACCGATCAACCTTCCCTTTCTTTATCGCACCCACTCCCAGACATCTTTCCTGAGTTAGACAAGTATTACCAACTGTCTAAAAACACAGTTCCATGGCCGTCTCCCCAGGCCCTTCGATTTAAAGCCATCCGAAAAACAACAACAACAACAAATCTCTCTAATCAAACCTGAACCATCTCTTTTTGTTCTCCATTTTGGCTAAAGGTATCCCAATCCACCCTTGCCTATGCTTTCAGGTACCTATTTTCGAAACGGTTTTATTAGCACTAACTTCTCTGAACTATTAGGTCAAAAATCAACATTAAACAATGAGTGCCTCTCATGGCCAGGGGGTAAGAAATGCAAAGTGTTACTCTTCGTCCTTGAGTGTACAGGCAGAAACATACCCAAGCCAATATTTTTTTGTGTGAAGCGTTTTCCCATCTACAAAACATTTTAATTTAACCCGTATTATAATCCCACTATTATCCCCATTTTATAGATGAAAAAACTGAGGCTCAAAGGGATTAGGTAATTTAACCAAGGATTAGGTAATTTAACCAAAGTCTTACAAGCTGGTAAGTGTCCAGTCCAGACCCCAAACCCAAGATTTGAGATGTCCAATTCCGCTCTGGGACATAAACTTCCCCATCATGAGACAGGTCTGTGCAAACCAGAGCCCCACACGGGGTCAAGTGCAAGCGGGGCGCTCCAGGCGGGGGTCTCCTGGCCCGACCCTCCCTCCACCGCCCCCCGCCGCCAGCACCTAGCAAGTCCCTCCGAGGCCTGCGTCCAGCCCGCAGGTCTGCGGCGATCGATCGCGGGAAACCCACGCTCGGCGACTCCAGGCGCGCTGAGCAGGGGCCGCCGCCGCCTCCCCGCCCGGCCTGGGACTGAGTCCCGGCTCAGCCGCAGCCGCCGCGCCTCCAGACCACAGGACAGCAGACCCGTCAAAAACAAGCGAACCTGGGGGAGAAGGCGGCAGCACGGCGGGCGACCCCGGCAACCCTAGGAGGCGGGAAGGCCGCCGGGGGGAGGGCTGGGGCCGGGCCTCCGGCGGCTAACTGCATCCACCTACGTCTGGGTAGAACACGGGAGCCACCAAGCCCTCCTCGGGGACGGCCGCAGGGACCGCCCCAGCGGCGGGTCGGCGAGCGCCGGATCTGAGGCAGAGGGCATCGCCGTTGGGGAGGGGCGGGGCGGAGACGGCCTGTGGGGGCCGGGGCCCGCGGCGCGAGGAGGCGTGGCTTGCGGCGCGAGGAGGCGGGGTTTGGGGCGGGGCTGCGACGTGAGGAGGCGGGGCTTGGGGCGGGACGTGCGGCGCGAGCAGGCGGAGCTTGAGGGTCGGGACGTGCGGCGTGAGGAGGCGGGGCGCGCGTCTGGGCGCCGCGGCTTCGTGACGCGTTTTCAAATCTTCAACCGCCGCAGCTCCTGGTGTGTGCGGGTCCGCGTCTTCCTCCGAGCCTTGAACCTCCCCCGGGCCCGGAAGTCCGGCTAGCAGGCCTGGTGTCTCCCCAGCGCGGGTGTGCGGGTCTGCGGAAGGGGAGGCGACTGGCGGGTCCCCGGGCCTCGGGGAGCCGTGTTCTCTCGGCCTCCCGGCGCGACGCCCTCCCCGGACCCTCTCCGGATCCAGCATGTAGGTGCCGGGCGGCTGCCATGAACCCCGGAGCCATGAGGATCCACAGCAAAGGCTATGTCCAGGGTAGGAAGCCCCCCCTCCGCCTGCGTCCCTTTAACGGTTTCCTCCCTCCGCTTCCACCATGGATGCTTTGTGGCGTCCTCCCTTCGGGTCCCTGCTGCTTTCCTGGCGTGTGCGTCCTTCTCTGTGGCCTAAAAGGAAGGTTTCCTCGGCTCAGGGTTTTGCCCCAAAAAGGGAACGGATCTCGGCGCAGCCCTGGCGCTCTCCGCGCCCCTAACCGCAGCCCCCAAATGCCGGGGGTGCCCGTGTTTAAAACCCGAGAACAGTGCGCGCACCCGGGGCCTCGCCGGGGACCCTCGGGGAGAAGCGGCCGTTCCTGGCTTTCCGCTTCCTGATTGAAGGGGGTGGTGGTGGGGGTCTTGGTCCCGTTCTTCTATGTTCTTCCCTCACGAAGCTGAAAGTGTGTGTGTTTCAAACCCACCATCGCTGTTTTCATACAGATAGATAAAAACAAACTTCCGTTTTCAGTGTTTCTTACTCTGTATATATTATACTCGCTAATGACCTCTAACCTACGAACAGATTGTGTTCTGAAAGTTAATTTGAAAGCGGCTTGGAAATAGTGAGATGAATGGTGACTCGGGGCCCCAAGTGGACCTTGTAGTTCTCCACGGAGAGGCCGACTCGCGATGAACTAAGCCTCGCGCGGTGCGGGATCTCTGAGTTCCAGGTCCTTCTCGGAACCAGGGTTCTTGCATTGCTACGTGTTTAACATTTTTTTAAAAATATATTCCATTGATTTTTTTACAGAGAGGAAGGGAGACGGATAGAGAGTTAGAAACATCGATTAGAGAGAAACATTGATCAGCTGCCTCCTATACACCCCCCAGTGGGATGTGCCCGCGACCAAAGCACATGCCCCTGACCAGAATCGAACCAGGGATCCTTGAGTCCGCAGGCCAACGCTCTATCCACTGAGCCAAACCAGTCAGGGCAACATTTAAAAAAAAAAAAAAGTGTTTTTATTGACTTTAGATAGGGAGGAGCGGAGACAGCGGAAAGGAGAGGGGGTGAGAGATGGGAACATGGATCCCTGCCCCATGCAGGGCCCCCACCGGGGACGAAGCCCACAGCCTGGCCGCCCCGCCAGGAGTCCGCCGGCGACCCCTGGGCGCGCTCAGCCCGGAGCCCATAATCACACTGGAGCCCATAGCCACGCTGGAGCCCCGTAGCCGCACAGGAGCCCATAGCTGCACCGCACTGGAGCCCCGTAGCCGCACTGGAGCCCCGTAGCCGCTGCTGGAGCCCATAGCTGCACCGCACTGGAGCCCATAGCCGCTGCTGGAGCCCGCTAGCTGCACTGGAGCCCCCTAGCCGCACTGGAGCCCCATAGCTGCACCGCACTGAATAGCCGCACTGGAGCCCCCTAGCCGCACTGGAGCCCCATAGCCGTACCGCACTGGAGTCCCGTAGCCACACCACACTGGAGCCCATAGCCGCACTGGAGCCCTGTAGCTGCACTGATGGGGCCAAACATTTAGCATTTAAGTACCTGTTTTGAGTGTTCAGCAGAAAGACAATGCTCCAGAAATAGTTTGTTGAGTAAATACCCCATGAAGTTTGCATTTTAGGAGGAGGAAAATCTTTCAATAAGGTTTTATGTACTGGTTCCCTACCTTCATACATAAAACATAAACGCATGAATATTTATTTCCTTCAGACTCAGCTATGGGCTGTAAACAATCATTGCTTTGCAATACAGGATCGGTTAAACCAGGGGTGGGCAAACTTTTTGACTCGAGGGCCACAATGGGTTCTTAAACTGGACCGGAGGGCCGGAACAAAAGCATGGATGGAGTGTTTGTGTGAACTAATATAAATTCAAAGTAAACATCATTACATAAAAGGGTACGGTCTTTTTTTTTTTTTTAGTTTTATTCATTTCAAACGGCCGGATCCGGCCCGAGGGCCGTAGTTTGCCCACGGCTGGGTTAAACTGTACTGGGTACTTTCCCATCATCTTAAGTGGGACCACAAAGAAATAGGGCTTGAATGGGTGGGATAAAGATTTTCCCCTCTGTGATATGATTAGTGTGTACAAAACTGTTTTTAAAACAACATAATTTTTTTTGTCTGCAGAAAACATCTAATTCTAAATGTTTAAACAATAGGTGGAATCCAACTCAAAAATGAAAAGAACAGACCATCTTTGAAATCTCTGAAAACACTTAACAAACCAGAAAAATCCAAATGTAAGCCACTTTGGGGAAAGATATTTTACATCGACTTACCATCTGTCACCATTTCTGAAAAACTGCAAAAGGACATTAAGGATCTAGGAGGGGTAAGTCAAAATTATACACTGAAAAAAAAGGAAAAATTTGTAACTAGTACTTTTTAATATATAATCGTTTAGAATGTCATTTTGGAGAACATCATTAGTACCAAGTGCAAACTTTTTATGTCATTAATGGAAAACTATCTGTTTTAACCTTTGTAGCCTAGTAAAACTTTCAGTTTTCTATGATTATTAGTTTAAATAATTATTGTAAAGTTCACAAAGTGCAAAGTGAGGTGAGACTCCCTTGTCCTGGTGGAACTGCTAATTGTCTTTCCATTGTAATGCTGGATGTCTTCCCCGTACCAGGAATTCCTTGCTTATGATTATTGGAGAGCTACAGAAATTTGTCTGGATTAGCAAACAATGTTATTTACAGAACCAGGAAAACCTAAGAAGTAAAATTGCTCTTGAGTGATGAGTCTCAACACAATGAATGTCATTAAGGGAACAGAACTTGGAAAACCTGCTTCTTTTATATGCTATACATTGAGTAAATGATTAGGAAATTAGAAAATTTGCGTAAAATTCTAAGATTTTCTTGGGCTTAAGGTTAATTAATATTAAGTAAATTTTAGCGAGTAAGTCTAAAATTTTATTAATTTATTTCCTAATTCTTCCTGTTTAAAAGATCTCTGCTGCACTTTGAATTTGTTAAGGTTAACATCTTGAACAGATCCTGTCTTTCCAGGAGTAGATATTTGCAGAAGCACAAGTAACAAGTTTACTGGAATTATTTATTATTGTGATGTTTTACTTACCTATCCTTGAAAAGCTATTTTATTTTTTTGCTATTCATTTTCTTAAAACATTGAACACATTTTGTCATAGTATCCTATATCATAATAACCATATGATTATATTCCTAAAAGTCATGTTTTATATAGGCCTGCTACCAAGTTGACCAGACCACCTATCAAGAGTGTCTTAATTTTTTAAGGACCTTAGACATTGAGTAAAGACCCTTTATTTTAGAAATTAAATATTTAAGGATCAGGAGAAGGTAAATGACTGGCCTAGCGTTGAATTAACCTCTGATTCCAATGCTGCTGCACAATTCTGTTTCTCTAGCAATTAATGGTTACAAAAAAACTATCTTAAACAGTTTTGCAGCTTTCTCATATGTGATGAATTACCATTAGCCCTTCTGATCTAAATCTGTGACTTTAGATTTGTGTTTTTAGCAATGGAACACTTCAGATGAAATCATATTCAGATGTCCAAAGTGTAAAGCCAGTAAAAAGGGAACTGCTCCAGCTAAAACAGCAGTATAGTAGCTAGTGCTGGGACTGCTGCCCTGTCCCCCTTTTTCTCTCCTCTCACCCCTCCCCATCAGTTCCTAAGGCACTTGGAAGAAATTTTGAATTAATTTATGCATTTGATAATATAGACTTATTAACTTGATTCCTTAATTTCTTTTCAGGAAAAAAAATGTTTTTATCAAATTCTGATCTCTCCATAGACTATCTTTCCAATAATTTAGTGATGTCCTTATTTCTGTCCCTAGCACATTACTACTTCTACCACTGAAAAAAGACTGTTAAGATCTCTAGTGAATTATTAAGGAACTTTGACCTCTAGACACTAATTTAAGAGTTTTAGGATTCAACTTTAAGTACCAGTTAGTTGAATTAGATATTACTTAAAATTCTTTGCTTATTTAATGTTGTAGGATTACTTAGGCCTTTTTTTAATAATTAATCTTTCTTCAGATTAGTACCATCTTTGTCCTTTTCTTTAATTGTCCACTTTATGCATTTGTTTTCTCTAGTTTTAATGAAAACCTCTAAATACCCCATTTTTCTGAGAGTGCACTTCTGACAAATTCAACCATAAAGAGCACAGCAATGAAGTCTGACATAATGGAGAAATATCTTTAATTGTGGCAAAGAAAGTAACTGTTACAAAACCATCTAAAAAGGATATGGAACCAGCCACATTTAAGTCCATGTCTAAACATTTTGGACTAAAATAGGGCAGTTGGAGAAGAAGAAAGATATAAGGGCAGATACCTGGCCATATCATGAACTTGAAGACAGTTACTTGTTTGATGTTTATTGTGACATTGAGTCATAAGAAAATAGCAATTGCTAATAAATTGAAGACC